GAAAGGTGAGGAACAGAGCCCATACTGCTTGAGATCCAGTGTGAAATATCCACAGTCAGTCACGACCAATTCCTCAATTGTGAGCTGCTAAGAACATGTGACAGGTGTAGCATTTTACAAAAACAAATGGCTGCACATAGACTTGCAAGGGTCTTGCATCCAACTAATGAGAGATGGTATTATTATAGAAAACATTTACCTTCATAAACACACAACCCTGCAATCCCAAAATACATTGCTGCAAATTTAACATAAGACATTTAATAAACTCAAAATAACAACATTAGGGTTGAAAGCTCACTTTAGCATACTTAGCACTGTGTTTGGTGTTAAAATGCTGTTACTTTGTGGATAATGTAATCGGCATGCATTATGGGAAATATACTGATAGTTTGTTGTCAGTGCACCCTATTGACTTATTTATTGACAGTCAGACCTTTTAAGCTCTCGCGGGCCACATAAAATGACGTGGTGGGCCACATCTGGCCCGTGGGCCTTGAGTTTGACACTTGTGCCTTAGATAATGGTAGGGGAAATACTGAATGTGTGCTTCACACCTTTGTTTCTTGTTTGTGGTATATTTTAGTGGCAGCGCTGCTGTGCCACATACAGGCTTGGTATAAGTACCAGTACTCTAAAGAGGCCCAAAGGTGGAAACTTGAGGAGTAATGGACCACACTTATGTGACAGAAACATCATCGGGGTAAATGGAAAAAAAGCAACCCTTCAGCTGTTCACATTATCCGTCAGCAACTGATCCCTACCCGAACAGTTCCCACTGCTTATGGGAACGTGCAGTTGCAGAGGTCAGTCCCAGATCAAACTGCACCTGCTGGTTATGTAGCCAAACTGTACCTGACCTTTGCCCAACTCACTGGTCAGATGAACTTTAGTCTGAATTACCTTAACTCACCCTGACTGGAAGCCACAGTGTATCTTTATTTGTGCCCACAAATACTGACTGGCCTAACAAAACCAGCAAATCAGACATAGACTGGAGATAAGGGGCTGGGCCAGAACAAATGGAGAGACCAAGAAGAAAGTGGGTTTTTTAATAGGACTTTGTGTAATTTAATAGTTTAACCTTCTTTTTTCATAACCAGAAAAAAGAGCAATTTATATTTGACTGCATAATCATATGAAGTAATTGAAATTTGAGTTTGGAATTGAAAATTGAGACTCAGAGCTCGGTGGAGATGCTGACCCCAATGTATGAGCCACACCCTTGCTGGATCCCCGAGCCACTCTTTGACTATGTAGTGAACTGCAGATTCTTGTCCTCAGTATATTTAGAAAGTTTTAGGTAAAAATTTACTAACAAAAAAGGTTCAATCAAGTCATGTGGACCACTAGTTTGCTGATTCTCACAGTGATTTAATGCATGCTTGTTGTCTAGATAGAGTTGGTAGGTTGTCAGACTTTAATCCTCCAGGAAATGGCTGAATCAATGATAGAGAAACTGGTTGAATCTGGATCTGATTGATTAGATCTGAGCTCACCTTCCTTTCATTTACTTTTCCATTTTATGTTGTTTTTGGTGTTTCTGTGTGAATGAAAACATTTCTCGAAACGGTGCCAAGTTTATGAGCATATTTTAGAGAGGTAGTTAAAAAGAACGCCTTGGAATCCTCCCAGAAGAGCTGGAAGAGGTGGCTGTGGAAAGAGATGTCTGGGCTTCCCTGCTCAAGCTGCTGCCCCTGCGACCCGACTTTGGAATAAGCGGAAGATAATGAATGAATGGATGGAGTTAAAAAGATAGTTTTGGCAGGAAACTGTTAACATGTGGACAAAGCCGGAAAGGAAAAGTTTTGCTTGTGGTTTTCTGTATAAAATGATAATTTTGACCCATTCTAGATGGCTCTATGAATGTCCTCAGATTGAAGGAGTAATTTACATCTGACAGGATTGATGAACTAACTGCTAGTTAGACAGCAGCTAAAAACAAAATAAATTTTTGCTTTCTTAGAATCGCTCCAAAATTTGTTTGTCCAAAGACACCAGAGACTAAATTGTAGACCTCCACAAGACTGGAAAGGGCTATGGGGCAATGGTCAAGCAGCTTGGTGGAAAAACATTAAACTGTTGGAGCAATTATTAGAAAATGGAAGAAGCTAAACATGACTGTCAATCTCCCTCGGACTGGGGCTCCATGCAAGATCTCACCTCGTGGCGTATCAATGATCCTAAGAAAGGTGAGGAATCAGCCCAGAACTACACGGAGGAGCTGGTCCATGACCTGAAGAGAGCTGGCACCACTGTTTCCATGGTTACTGTGGGTAATAAACTAAGACGTCATAGTTTAAAATCATGCATGGCACGGAAGGTTCCCCTGCTTAAATCAGCACACGTCCAGGCCTGTCTTAAGTTTAACCATGACCATGAATGATCCAGAGGAGTCATGGGAGAAAGTTCTGTGGTCAGATGAGACCAAAATAGAACTTTTTGGTCTTAATTCCACTCGTCGTGTTTGGAGGACGAAGAATGATGAGTACCATCCCAAAAACACCATCCCTACTGTGAAGCATGGGGGTGGAAGCATCATGCTTTGGGGGTGTTTTTCTGCACAAGAGACAGGACGACTGCACTGTATTAAAGAGAGGATGACCGGGGCCATGTAGTGAGAGATTCTGGGGAACAACCTCCTTCCCTCAGTTAGATCATTGAAGATGGGTCATGGCTGGGTCTTCCAACATGACAATGACCCAAAGCACACAGCCAGGAGAACCAAGGAGTGGCTCCGTAAGAAGCATATCAAGGTTCTGGAGTGGACTAGCCAATCTCCAGACCTAAACCCTATAGAAAATCTTTGGAGGGAGCTCAAACTCTGTGTTTCTCAGCGACCGCCCAGAAACCTGCTGATCTAGAGAAGATCTGTGGAGGAATGGACCAAAGTCCTGCTGCAGTGTGTGCAGACCTGGTGAACAACTACAGGAAACGTTTGACCTCTGTAACTGCAAACAAAGATACTGTACCAAATATTAACATTGATTTTCACAGGTGTTCAAATACTGATTTGCAGCAGTAACACACAAATAAATTATTAAATCATACATTGTGATTTCTGAATTATTGTTTTTAGATTATGTCTCTCACAGTGGACATGCACCTAAGATGAAAATTTCAGACCCCTCCATGATTTCTAAGTGAGAGAACTTGCAAAGTCGCAGATGTTCAAATACTTATTTTCCTCACTGTAATTGTGTGGTTAATTACAAGTAAAAATGGCACCAAGAGTAGTGAAATGTTGCACTTCCAATGCATCTCAGGATCTGATAGGAATTAAATATTTCTGCTAAAATAACTTTATACTACGAACCAACATTTTTCAGTCGGGTCATCTGGACAGTTTATTTTTTTGTGCTGAAACGTTTCACCTTCGATCCAGAAGGCTTCATCAGTCAAGGAAACGCAACAAAACTGATTCTTCCCCCAACAGCTTACTCCAAAGTGGAACAAACCGTTTGTTCCAACAACAAATGAACGTTCAAGAACATTTATCTTCACAATAAAGGATGCACGATATTGGATTTTTGGTCGATAACCAATACCGATATTTTATATACTTTCTTTAGTCGGAACATAGCCCTCTTATCTAGGCTTATTTGCTACAAAAATTGTGTAAGAGCTGGTGACATATATTCAGTAACAGCCATATGTATAGCACTTTAACTTATCTTAAATGAAAAGTGTTAAATGTTATTTATTAGCATTAGTCACTTGCGATGCTGTCTCACTTGTGGAGGCTTGTTCCAGGTTCCTGTAGCTGCAGTGTGGGATCCTCTGCACTCTTGTGCATGAAGGACAGCCTTTTTTTAAATTCAAAGTTTATGTCTATGCATTGGGCCGTAAGACTTATCATGTTAATGGGGCTGACACTTGACGTCCAAATGTCTGTGGTAAAACTCCCCCAAGTGCTATCGGCTATTAGCTTCTCAATGACGTCGGAAATGATGGTTTGTAACTTTGGTACGGTTACGTCGGAAAAATATCTCCGACTGGGGACAATGTAGTGAGGCTCAGCGTCATAGGTGTCAAACTCCAGGCCTTGAGGGCCACAGTCCTGCAACTTTTAGATGCATCTCTGATGCCACACAGCTGAATCAAATAAGGAGGTCATTAGCAGGACTTTGGAGAACTTGACTGCACGGAGAAGCTAATTCAGTCATATGATAGACGCATCTAAAAGTTGCAGGACTCTGACCCTCAAGGCCTGGAGTTTGACACCCCTGCGCAACGTAGTCCAAAAGTCTTGGGAATCAGACATCCTCACCAGCGAACAAAAAAACTTCCACACTGCCGACATTTTGAATTTTCCTCTCCGCCGTGAGATCAGGTAGGCACGCGTGACGTCATCACGTTGTGCTGCCATTGCAGGCATCCATGTCACTGGGTTGTCGTACAAAAACAGCGCCTTTTTATATCGGTGTGTTGTTTTGATGGAATGGCCGATATTGAACTTTTAACGCTAATATCGGCCAATACCATGCCGTTAATATCTTGTATCCCTATTCACAATGATTCGCTGAAAAAGTTTGACTTTGGGGAGGAAGTAAGAACCTTGTATTCCTGGTGTGGCACATTTCTTCATTGTCAGCAGGTGTGTTGTAACCGTGCATTCAGGACATGTGACTTCCTCTGCTCGTGCTCTCCTCAGCTAAACTCATCTGAGTTGGCACAGGCCAAACAAGTTGTTGGTCACCATCTATTTAGGTTTTTAAAGGATATCCTGTTCATGTCTGTGTTTGACCACAATTTTTGTAAAGTTTTTGTAAGTTTGTTTTGTCAAACGTTTGACGTCAAGTTTGGTCCTAAATGACAAAGTTAGGTGGTCATAATGATGAGCTTTGTACTGACGCGGTACAAGTTGTTCCACCGTGTCAAGCTGATGTCATTTATATGTTGCATTAACACTGCTTCTGCACGACCTAGAAAAACCCGTTCATACCCTGTAGCCTAATTGCTGAACTGACTAGTCTGTGTGTTTCTTCTGTATTCTGCAGTTCCCTCTTCAGGCAGCCTGCTGTGTCAGCGAGCTGAACTGAACATGGAGATGAAGAACTTCAGTCAGGCGGTGCAGGATGCCAACAGTCTTTGTAGATTAAAACCTCTTTGGACAAAGGCAAGTCTTAACATTTTATAATTAATGTGTTAAAAGCAGTCAGTTTGTGACTATTGATGCATTAAAGCTAAAAAACAAACAAAACAAAAAAAACTTTAACTTTAATTACTAACCCAGATCATGAGATCAGAAATCAGAATTTACTTAGCACAAATATTATAAATATGTAAGTAAAGTTTAATTAGGTTGGCATGCAATTCAAGAGGACACATCCTTATTAAACAAGATGCATCAGAATATTTTTCTGCCAAAGTTAGTAGGAACACAAATACTTTTTAGAAGTCGTAATTACTGTCAGGAAACATTTTAAAGGTTTCAAAACCATGTGTAAAACCTTCGCTTTTGATTTGATGTTAAAACATCGTTGGATGTTGTTATGAGAGACATAAAATAATAATGAATTACTTGTTTCAAATGTGTTTGATACGATTTGGTTTATGATGTTAGACGTTGGTATGCTTCACAGTAAAGCAATGAAAGCTTTCAGCTTGTACGTTGTAACATCCAAGTTTGATTCACTTCAAGGTTCTTTGTTGTCATTCATATCACATCAAGTGGAACGAAATTATGTACTCAGGGTCCCAGTTACACCCAAAAATAGCAAAAATATAAAGTATAAAAAGAAATCATACATCTAAGATATACGCTAAACACTAATAATGTAGAATAAGGTATATTAAACAGCAGCCCAAACATGAGTCTGTAGTGAGCAGATGGGACTTGTCAAATTCTTAATAAATGCTTTTAATCTTCGTTTGAAAAGATACTTGTACTTACAGAGCCAGACTATAGTCATTTATTGCTCTACACACCTTAAAGCTTTTTGCCATTTTTACTACTTACGAAGACGGTCAACTCTAGTAACCATCACAGCTATCTACATACCTCCGTCACTGACATTAGCCTAGCATCAGCAAACTGCAGAGGGCTCATCCTTATAGCTGGATGTTTCAATCAGGGATTTTTTAAAGTAATTTTTCCCTGTTTTCACCCATTTTGTGAAATGTGTTGCCAGATAGAACACACCGGGTTGTATATATTGTAGCTTTAAGCATGCAAACAGAACCGTGCCACAGCCACGCAGGCCAGTCAGACCATCTGCCTCTGCATCTCATACCAGCTTTAATCTTGCTTAGATAGAGAACTTTACTAATTGGCTTTTCTATGCATGTGAATGTTCCTGTAAAGTGCCCTGAGACAACTTTGTTGTGAAATGGCGCTATATAAATAAACTGAATTGCTCCAAAGGAAATTTGAGCCCATTACAAAATACAACACCTGTCCTCACTCAGCTACAAGGTTGCTACATGAGCAATGACTGTTTGAGAAGCAGGACCTAAGGAAGTACACTCCTTCTGTACTGAGAATGGCACTGTAAAAAACATGCATACGTGTTTCCAAATCAGAACCATTGGATAGCAAGTAGGTTCTGGGCCATATCATATTGTTCACGATAACACCAGTAAAAAAGCTTGCCCAGGAAAATAGATTGTATCATGATATGCTAATTTTATGACGTAAATACGTAATTTCCACTACCATTATACAAGCGGGGTGCCCCGCCCCGTAAATGGAGCCAAGTGCACCGAACTACCGAGCCGAACTGCCCCCACCCCAACCTGATGCTAATTAGCTGCTCGCAGTACTAGCTAGCTTAAAAAGCTAAAAACAAACGACACGTGGCTCGGCTGTGTTTCTCCGCCCAGTTCTAAACTGCGAGTACAGAGAATGCACAGCTCAGTTGTGTCTCTTCCTCCCCGCAGCTCAGCTGCCCACCCAACCCCCGCGCACTCTAAACTGCCGGTACAAACACGTGCAGCTCAACGGTGTCTGTTTGTTGTATGTTACATTTATGCTCAACAGATCTTAAGCTTAATTTTATTTAGTTATTTTGAGAAACTGCACCTGCACTTTAGTTTTGTGGTGGATTTTGTTGATCTATATTGTGTAGATTTTTTCAATCTAAATAAAAAGGATCATTGTTGTTTTTTATTTTTATACTTTGGGACTGATTTTTTTTTTCATTCATTCAACCTTTATTTAGACAGGTTAATCCCATTGAGCCTGGAGGACTTGTTTACAAGACAGACCTGATTTCAACAAAGAATGATGGCAACAATGGACAATTATAAAAGATGGCCAAAAAAGTAGCAAAAACAGCTAGATTCTAAGGCGAATGTAGAAAACTAAAAACAGGAACATGTCTGCATTGGTCCCTGCAATTGTTTTGTCTTGCAGCATAAATGGAGTGACACTTACAGTTTCATATTCCTCCAACATAATATCAATAAATTGATCTTATCTCTTAAAAAGTATAATGTCTGTGAAAATGTAGCGATCAATAATCAGTGATCAGCAACAATCCATCCCATTGAAATTAACAAGGTTAACAAGGAATTGGATTGCTTTATTCACCCTGTTCCATAAATATTTGTCTATTTTCAGGCCCGCTGTCTAAAAGCCACTGCACTGAGTAAAGCTGGTCGGAAGGATGAGGCCTTGCAGGAGTACTTCCTGTGTGTGGCACTAAAGCCCGAATGCACCAAAGTGAAACTGGAGGCTCAGAAGGTGAGAGAGAGAGGTTACTTTTTTACACGATATTTAATGATAAGAAAAGCTGTTTGAATATTTTTCTTTTTAAAAACAAAAAAAAATTACCATCATTATATTTCTTAAGCTCACTTTTAAGCTCAAAAGCAAAATAGATTTTTTTTTTTGTTTTAACAGTTTTTTTTTTATGCACACACAAAGTTAGATGTTATGTAAGAGAAATGAGTTTCACAACTTTTCAGTAGCAACATCATTTGTGTACTCTGGCTAAAAATCAATGTGTGGAAACAAATCTGTTTGCTTTTTCTTATCTAATCTTATCTTAACGCTAGCTGTAAACATCAATTACGTGCCTTGTTCTGTTGTGTTTTTCAGGTACTATCCGAGCTGTTTTCCTCTGTTTTTGAGGAAGAGGAAATGCCAACACCGCTGCACCCTCTGCAGGGAGGGCTGGCCACTCGGCGGATCAAACCTCCCGCCTTGCTCACATCCTTGAAGCCGCTGACACAGAAACTAGGCAGCTCTTCACAGGTGACAACACACCAACATTCACAACTCCACTTTCTTCAGGTCTATCAGAGAAAGTACCTTTTTCAGTTTGTTTCATGAACATTGGCCTAACTTTATTTAAACTGCACTTAACAGTTAATCAAGTGCTCAACAACACATAAAAGACAAAAATAAATAACAAAACTTAAACATCATGCATAACTAGTGATAAGTGATTTATAATTTGACCAAATTTGTAGACTGCAAAAAGACTTATAGGATGAATCCTGGTTGAAGTTTTTGTTTGTTTGTTTGTTTTTTACAGTAGAAGCTGTCAATGCTATCAAGATAGTCAAATTGTGATTTTTTTTTATTTGTTCTAGACAAACAAGCTTGTTAAGACACTTTTTTACTTTAATTGAGCAGTCGACAGTTACTGGTGATCCAGATTTTCCCTATTCAAAACAAGCCCACAGTTTCACCTGATTTCATTGATAAATAAAGCTGAGTGTCATCAGCTTAATAGAAAAGTCTGTCATTTTTATATTGCCCAGAGCAAGCATAGAGAAAACAGAAATGGGCCTAACACAGAACTCTGAGAAACACCTCAAATAACTAAATAATGATGCATTAATGATGCATACAAACTGGAGGCAGAGTGAAACGGCTTAAACTGGTCTGATGTACCTTTAATCCTGATGATATGCTCAGATCTATGTAACTAATCAAACTGTCCAATTTTGTTTTTATACTGCCTTGCGAAAGTATTCGGCCCCTTTGAACTTTTCAGCCTTTTGCCACATTTCAGGCTTCAAACATAAAGACATAAAATTTAAAATTTTTGTGAAGAATCAACAACAAGTGGGACACAATCTTGAAGTGGAATGAAATTTATTGGATGTGTCAAACTTTTTTAACAAATAAAAAACTGAAAAGTGGGGCGTGCAATATTATTGGGCCCCTTTACTTTCAGTGCAGCAAACTCACTCCAGAAGTTCAGTGAGGATCTATGAATGATCCAATGTTGTCCCAAATGACTGATGATGATAAATAGAATCCACCTGTGTGTAATCAAGTCTCCATATAAATGCACCTGCTCTGTGATAGTCTCAGGGTTCTGTTCAAAGTGCAGAGAGCATTATGAAGACCAAGGAACACACCAAGCAGGTCCGAGATACTGTTGTGGAGAAGTTTAAAGCCGGATTTGGATACAAAAAGATTTCCCAAGCTTTAAACATCCCAAGGAGCACTGTGCAAGCAATCATATTGAAATGGAAGGAGTATCAGACCACTGCAAATCTACTGAGACCCGGCCGTCCCTCTAAACTTTCATCTCGAACAAGAAGAAGACTGATCAGAGATGCAGCCAAGAGGTCCATGATCACTCTGGATGAACTGCAGAGATCTACAGCTGAGGTAGGAGAGTCTCAACAATCAGTCGTACACTGCACAAATCTGGCCTTTATGGAACAGTGGCAAGAAGAAAGCCATTTCTCAAAGATATCCATAAAAAGTGTTTAAAGTTTGTTACAAGCACCTGGGAGACACCAAACATGTGGAAGAAGGTGCTCTGGTCAGATGAAACCAAAATCAAACTGTTTGGCCACAATGCAAAACGATATGTTTGGTGTAAAAGCAACACAGCTCATCACCCTGAACACACCATCCCCACTGTCAAACATGGTGGTGGCAGCATCATGGTTTGGGCCTGCTTTTTGTCAGCAGGGACAGGGAAGAGGGTCAGAATTGATGGGAAGATGGATGGGGCCAAATACAGGACCATTCTGGAAGAAAACCTGTTTGAGTCTGCAAGAGACCTGAGACTGGGACGGAGATTTATCTTCCAACAAGACAATAATCCAAAACATAAAGACACATCTACAATGGAATGGTTCACAAATAAACGTATCCAGGTGTTGGAATGGCCAAGTCAAAGACCAGACCTGAACCCAATCGAGAATCTGTGGAAAGAGCTGAAGACTGCTGTTCACAAACGCTCTCCATCCAACCTCACTGAGCTCGAGCTGTTTTACAAGAAAGAATGGGCAAAAATTTCAGTGTCTCCATGTTCAACACTGATAGAGACATACCCCAAGAGACTTGCAGCTGGAACTGCAGCAAAAGGCGGCGCTACAAAGTATTAATGCAAGGGGGCCGAATAATATTGCACGCCCCACTTTTCAGTTTTTTATTTGTTAAAAAAAATTTGACAGATCCAATAAATTTCATTCCACTTCACGATTGTGTCCCACTTGTTGTTGATTCTTCACAAAAAATTAAAATTTTATATCTTTATGTTTGAAGCCTGAAATGTGGTAAAAGGTTGAAAAGTTCAAGGGGGCTGAATACTTTCGCAAGGCACTGTATTTCATCACGTTTCAGCAATTTCATATATGTTGTTAAAAAAAAACAATTGACATTTTCCTAAATGCATTTTCATCTCCACATATAGAACTGCATTACTTGCTTGTATAATAGACATGGATTTTGTTTTTTGCAAGTGTCATCAAATGATGCAGCGAGAATCAGGAAACTTCATGTGGAAGAATAGTGGATTTTTTATTTTTTTTTAGATGTTGATGCATTTGTGGGAAGAAATTGTAATCAGGACATTTAATTAGAATCTAAAAAGAGCAAAAATAGAAGCTGCACTTCTCCAGGTGACCAGCCGGCTCTGAGAACAGCAAGGGCCAAGGTGTCCTGGGTATCTGAAAAGCAAAGCATGCGCATGGCCAGAACATCCACAGCCACTTCTAGAACAGCGGTGACACACAGTGCATGTGCCAGGGCATCCAGTCCATCAACTACAGGACTACACCACCCGCCAGTGACCGTGATGCCTCCCTTCCAGATGCGCTGAACAACTTCTACGCTCTGTTCGAGGCGCAGAACAACACTGTGGCGAGGAAGACCATCCGCCCTCGCAATGACCAGGTGCTTTGTCTGACCACAGCAGATGTGAGGAAACCTCTACGCAGAGTCAACCCACAGAAAGCTGTCAGACCAGACAACATGCAGAGTACTCAAAAGAATGTGCAGACCAGCTGGCAGGTGTTCTCAGACATCTTTAACATCTTATTGAGCAGTGCCGTCATTCCAACATGCTTCAAGGTGACCACCATCATTCCTGTGCCAAAGAAGTTGTCAGTGTCATTCTTCAACGACCATCGCCTCATAACACTCACTCCTATTGCCATGAAGTGCTTCGAGAGACTCGTCATGCAGCATATCAAGCCCTTGCTGCGTCCCACCATGGACCCATAGCAGTTTGCATATCATCTTAATTGCTCAGTGGATGATGCCATAGCCAGCACACACTTGGACAGAAAAAAACTCTTACAGTAGGATGCTGTTCATAGACTTTAGCTCACCATTCAACACCATCATTCCTCAGCATCTGATTGGAAAGCTGAGCATGCTGGGCCTGACCACCTCTCTTTGCAACTGGATCCTGGACTTCCTGACTGTGAGACCTCAGTCTGTCCGGATCAGAAAGAACACCTCCAGCACCACAACACTGAGCACTGGAGTTCCCCAGGGCTGTATGCTCAGTCCACTGCTGTTTACTCTACTTACTCATGACTGTATAGCAATGCACAGCTAAAATCAATCGTGAAGTTTGCAGATGACACAACTGTGTTGGGACTCATCAGCAATAACAATAAATCAGTGTACAAAGAGAAGGTCCAATGGCTAACGGACTGGTGCGACGTCAACAACCTGTCTCTGAATGTTGACAAAACCAAAGAAATGGTCATTGACTTTAGGAAAACACCAAGGGACCACTACACTGAACATTGACGGGTCCTTCGTGGAGATTGTCAAGAGCACCAAATTCCTTTATGTTCACCTGGTGGAGGGTCTCACCTGGACCCTTAACTCCAGTGCCATCGCCAAGGAATCTCAGCAGTGTCTCTACTTTCTGAGAAAACTGAAGAAAGTTCATCTGCCATTTCCCATCCTCACCACCTTCTACAGATGAACCATTGAGAGCATCCTGAGCAGCTTCATCACTGTCTGGTTTGGGAATTGCACTGCAACGGACCGCAACTCCAACGAATACGGAGGACAGCTGAAAAGATCTGAGTCTCTCTTCCATCTCTCATGGACATTTTCAACAACCACTGCATCCAGAAAGCCCTCAGCATTGTGGAGGACCCGTCTCACCCATCATTTGGAGTTTTTACACTTCTGCCCTCTGGGAGAAGGTACTGCAGCATTCAGACCAACACAACCAGACAGTGGAACAGCTTCATCCCACAAGACATCAGACTCCTCAACTCTAGTGTTTGACACACACATGATGGACTCTGACGCACACACGATGGACTCTGACGCACACACATGATGGACCGTGACGCACACATGATGGACCCTGACGCACACATGATGGACTCTGACGCACACACGATGGACTCTGACGCACACACGATGGACTCTGACGCACACACATGATGGACCGTGACGCACACATGATGGACCGTGACGCACACACATGATGGACTCTGACGCACACACATGATGGACTCTGACGCGCACACATGATGGACTCTGACGCGCACACATGATGGACTCTGACGCGCACACATGATGGACTCTGACGCACACACATGATGGACCGTGACGCACACACATGATGGACCGTGACGCACACATGATGGACCCTGACGCACACACATGATGGACTCTGACGCACACACATGATGGACTCTGACGCACACACATGATGGACCGTGACACACACACACATGATGGACTCTGACGCACACACACATGATGGACTCTGACACACACACACACACATGATGGACTCTGACACACACACACACATGATGGACTTTGACGCGCACACATGATGGACTCTGACACACCCACGATGGACTCTGACGCACACACACGATGGGCTCTGACACACATGATGGGCTCTGACACACACACGATGGACTCTGACACACACGATGGACTCTGACACACACGATGGACTCTGACACACACACGATGGACTCTGACGCACACGATGGACTCTGACGCACACACACGATGGACTCTGACGCACACGATGGACTCTGACGCACACGATGGACTCTGACGCACACGATGGACTCTGACACACAAACACACACAAAATAGACTCTGGTGCACACACATTCACTATGGACTCTGACTCACACACACATGATGGACTCTGACCACGACAGACTCTGACACACACACACACACACAAAATAAACTGGCACACACATTCACAATGGACTCTGACACACACACACACAACCTTTGTTCCTATAAAAGTAGAAAAACTTTGTGTTGCTAACCACATATCAGAACATGCTTCTACCTCATGTACCACTTACACATGTTCTAATCAACACGTGTCTCTAGTCTTGTCTCTTAATTACTTGTTTAGATTAGAATGTTTAGATTAGGTGAGATGTCTTTGTTTTTTATTATAGGTCTGTTTGTGTTTCTTGTTCTGTTGTGTATCTGCACTCTGTTGAATTTCTTTGCACGTAATGTTCTGTGTTGCACCGTGATCCTGGAGGAATGTTATTTCATCTCACTATGTACTTGTACGTAGCTGAAATGACAATAAAACCTCTCGTACTCTCCAGGCTACTGTGGTGTTGGCGTTTGACTCGAATGTCAGTTTTAAAAAGTCTAATGAATTAAACAAGTTTCTAATCCTTTTAAATGGCACTAAATTCTTACTTTCTGATTTGTTTTTGAATATTTTGACTAACAGTGTGTTGAGGGACTGCCTATTTGAGCATTCACCATGATCTATAATTTTACTTGATCAGTCTAGCTGTGCCTGCCCCTTCTTGTTGGTATTAATGATATTAAAATGTTCCACGATCTTTTCTCTGTATTATAATCATTCTTGATGCGACCGGTCGTAAAGAGATCTTTATTAGGCTCAAGGTTTGATTAATGTGTGAGTGACGTGTTTTCCAAAGAGTCCTTGAGAGGTATTTTGTCTTCCACGACTCCAACGTTCTATGTGCTGCTGATTTTTGATAACAGCTCGACAGCGAAGGGGGGGTGAGGAAGACTGGCGCCTGTGAAATTCTATAAAGCAACAGCTTACTAAAGAAAGCTCAGAACGGGTCAGAGTCTCGACAGATGAAGGCATTGATAAGTTTGTATTGTAAATGCATTGATCTTCTGTGAGTGTGACTGTTCTCCAAATCTTTGAAATAAATCTGGAAGTTTACATCTGACCTGACCTGACCTCACTTTTTTCCATGACATAGTGATATAATGATCCTCCCTCAGTAATCCTAAATGTAGTCGTTTCTTCTGTCTGTGTTTGCAGGAGTTTAGTGCGTCGAAAAGTGCCCCCGTGGATGATTTGTCCTCCAGATTTTGTCCTCTGTCTTCTTGTAAATCGGACCCTGCTGCAGGAGAAGGCAGCTCCAAGAGCCTAGTTAATGTTCTGTCTGCACTGCCGACACCCCCTGGTGGCCTGAAAAGGAAACACAGCATCGATGACCCTTCACCAGCCTTAAGTCCGCCCTCGAAACTTTCCAGACCAGGTAAAAAAAAAACTGCTTTAAAAACAAAAAATCAATCCTTCACGCAGTAAAAAATTACAAACGTACCATAATCAAGTATAAACTTTGCTTCTGTTTATTATTTTGGTCTCTAATAAACACAAGCATTTTGTTTATATTAGATTTGTTTTTAGGTCCAAATGAGACGCCAGTTTAATTTGGAACTTTTTGTAATTCAGTGTTGACGAAACTGAGTTGAAATTGACTTTAGTTATATTTTTAGGACCTTGATTATGGAAAAACTTTCTAAAACAATTCTCACTGAACTGAATTATTATCTTCATTTATTTAAAGAGGGATCATAACAGTCAGGAATGTATTTGAAAGAATAAAAACTGCAACACCTGCAGGACACTGGATTCGTGAAATACTAAATGTCACATATATTTGTGCTTTAAAGGTGTTCCGAGTAAGTACTGGTTACAAAGACCATGCATAAAGAATAAAAAGATTTTAATCAATTTAAAGAGAAAATACATTGGAGTCTCTTGAATTTGCTTACAGTAGTCCCTCACTTATTACGGGGGTTACATCCCCCCCACCCCCCCACCCCCCACCCCACAATAGGTGAAACTCCACAAAGTAGGGACGTTATATTTATTTTACTATTTATATATATTTGAAAGCTCTATAAACCCTTCCCACACTGTTGCAATGCTCTTAACAACGTTCTAAACTCTTAAACCTACATAATTGAACAACACTGTTGACTTCTGGGCCGTGTAGTTTTTTTGACATTCATTACAGTGTAGGCTTATTGGAATAAAATTACAAAATGGTGGCGCCTGTCCAAATCATTTTTTTGTTTTGTTTTTTGTCTTATTGGTTAGTTCCCCCTCCCGTTAACGTTTTATCCCGTACCGTCCCAATCACGTGAGGAATGTTAAAGTTGACAATCGTGTGCCGTGTACAGTCTTACGTTGAAAAAACGCAAAAGAGCGAGTCCATGAAAGTTGAACCACCAAGTTTCGAGGGACTACTGTATTCTAAGAGCAACTCAGCTGAACCTAAGCTGAATCCAGAAAATTGCTATCACTTTTTGTTTGTAACGGTCCTCATATGTTGATTGGGAAAAAGTCGAGACCAGTTCAGTGTCCTCCTGAAGATCACCTACACGTATGAAATCAACTACAAGTCTAGCATGAGCAGAGTGTTATTCACCTTTTAAATCTATCAGTGAGTTTCATTTTAGTTTCCTTTCAAGCTGGCAGCTGTAAGAGAGTACCTTTCTGCAACAATCCTCTGAAAATGTGTTTTGATGCTGTACATGTTGCGTCCTACACACGGTCCACTGCAGTAGTTGCTGATGTAACTGTTTTATGTGCAGACGAAGCCAGCGGGAATCAAACAGCTGTAGTTTGTGGAAGAAGGATGTTTCCTGTTGAGCTGCTGGACAGTGGAGACTTGGAGTGCTCACTCTGCATGAGGTGAACACACAAAACAACATTTCTACTTTTGACAGACGACAGCAGCAACATGTGATACCATATGTGTTACAGCCATGTTATAAGTGTAACTTGTTTTCTTATTGTGTAGATTGTTTTACGAGCCCGTGGCGACTCCCTGTGGACACACATTCTGTCTCAAATGTCTGGAGCGCTGCCTGGACCATAACCCCAACTGCCCTCTGTGCAAGGAGAATCTGGCTGAGGTGCAGACACCATTATTATAATTAAATATGCCAAAATGACTCTTCAAAATAAAGTCTTCAGTTTTAAAAAGATAATTTGTTTATCTAATAGTTGATGGAAATTTTAAACTATTCTTATGTTACAAACGAAAAACACTAATTCATCTGACGAGGTTGAGTCAGGTCCTCTGGACGGATTCTTGTTGAAATGTTTCCTCTTCAGTCTGAGGAGCTGCAACAAACTCAGACTTATAAACACCTTTTCGTGGATCAACCAGTTTGATGGTGACATCCAAGACTAGGTGTCGGTTCCCAAATACTCTGTTTGTGCCGGGGGACTGGGTCTGGTTGAACAAACGTTTGCCATAATGTATTTTGTGCTTTGAAAGCCACTCGGAGGTCACATTTAGAAAATAAATGTCTCGGTTTCTCTGAAACTGCCACAACATACAGAATGACCACTGGTCTGGGTTCCTCCCTTTCACCTGATGGCTGGCTGCAGGTCCGGTGTTCTGGATAAAAGACGAAACATTTCAACAACGAACACGTCCAGATAACTTGACTCAACCTTGTTGGATTTATCTAGCTGGATTACTGAACATGCATCAGGACATTCATGTGTTTGGGTTTCTGTTTCGTTCCAGTATCTTGCCTCAAGGGGCTACAATAAGACCTTTCTGATGGAGGAAGTCCTGCAGCGGTACCTTGGAGAAGAGTTGGCCGATAGGAAAAAAATCCATGAAGAGGAGATGAAGGAGCTGTCCAAGTTAGTTTAACACACTCGTATACACCCAAATGAAATGGTCCTGAAAAGGTTGAAGGTCTTAAATTTATAACGCAGCACATTTTAAACACTGCTGTTGGTATGTCGTATTGTTTAACATTAGTAGTGTTTAGCGTATATCTTAGATCCTGATTTACTGTTTCTTTTTATACTTTATATTTTTGCTATTGTTGAATGTAACTGGGACCCTGAGTACATAATTTCGTTCCACCTCATGTACCACATGTGATGAAATGACAGCTGTACTTGCAGTTGTCTGAGAGCAGCGGAGGCAGAGCTGAAATCATGACATTCTGTGTCTTTTAGAGCGTTTAGAGTTTAGAAACATTGTTAAGAATATTGCAAAAGTGTGGGAAGGGTTTAAAATACCTTTAAAAAAAACATATTATATATATATATATATTTAAATACTAAAATAAACTACTACTTGTATAATGCTATTCCCACCTTGCGGTTTTTCACTTATCGCGGGGCTTCAGGGTATGGATCCCCTGTGATAAACGAGGGACTACTGTATTTATTTTCTGAGCCTTTGGAACACGAGAGCTTACCTATGGTAACAATCCCTTCACTGTCTCCTGCAGTTTGAACCAGGAAATGCCCATCTTTGTGTGCACCATGGCCTTCCCCACCATCCCCTGCCCGCTGCACGTATTTGAGCCGCGCTACCGCCTCATGATTCGGCGCTCCATGGAGACGGGGACCAAACAGTTTGGCATGTGCATTGCAGATGAGCTCAAAGGCTTTGCTGATTTTGGCTGCATGCTGCAGGTGAGTCCTTAAAAATCATAGAGTTCAACGTTTCCGTTTTGCTTTATGCAGATTTAGTCAATTTATTTTGGAACTTGTGTTGCAGGTGCGAGATGTAAAGTTCTTTCCTGATGGGCGTTCTGTGGTTGACACCATCGGGGTGTCTCGGTTCAAAGTCCTCAAACATGGACAGAGAGATGGTTATCACACGGCCAAGATAGAATACCTGGAAGACAAGAAGGTGAGCTAAGTGCATCAGTGTTTGTCATAGGGACTTTTAGAGGCATTCCATGATGATTCTTCTAGTAAATGTTACACAATATGAAACTTTTTCCCGTTTATCAGTGGAAAGAAAAAATGCAGCAAGATAACGGCTCCCTTTTCAAACTGTTAATATTTAAATACAATTTTCTACTGTGCACGTTTTCTTTTGTGCAAGAGCTCCCATCTTTTCTTCAGTTTATTTCATCTTTGACCAAGATAAAATGTCTCGTGCTCAGGTTGATGGAGAGGAGCTGGCAGAGCTTCTGAAGCTGCACGACTCGGTGTACGAGCAGGCCAACAACTGGTTCACCTCACTCAAAGACAACATGAAGACTCAGATACTCGGACACTTTGGACATCTTCCCAGCAAAGACGCAGACCCACAGGTCTGTAAACACCAGCTTGTTTTACGATATTCTTTATTTATTTATGTATTCATTTGAAACCTGAGTCATTACAAATTAAGGAAACTCTCAGAGGAGGAGACCACAGGAACATTATAAATGTGCTTAAACAACTTTAGGTCAAAAGAACATTTGTGATTGTCTAAAAAAATATTTGGACAAATACCTAACCTGAGAATGGGATTAGGATTTTACCATAATTCTTGACTACAGAATGCACCTATCTCTAAGCCGCACATATTAAATATAAGATAAATCCTAGATAAATCGTGATTTTGTGCATAAATAAGATGCTCCAGTTTATCCGTGGGCATCCACGTTCATCTTCAGGATCTGTGCCCAGCCTTCTCTGACAGTGTGCAGCTTTCTTGTTGTAGTACAAGAATCAGCCACTGGATGGCGTTTCACAGAAGGATTCGAGGATTCGTATCACATGTGGTACATGAGGTGGAACGAAACTATGTACATAGGGTCCCAGTTACATCCAACAAAAATACTAATTTTCAAGAAAAACTGTAGTAAGATCCAAGACATGAACTAAGAATTTACTCCATTCACTAAACTAAGAATACACAAAACTAATAATACACTAAGCACTCGTAGTCCAAAAACAATGTGCCAAAACAACAACAGCACGAACATGAGTCTGTGTGAGCAGACGAGGACTAATGAACACAGCAACATGAAACGGATCAGCAGCATGAGATCAGCACCTTGGATAGTCAGCATCACATATCAACAACTATCTTTCTTTTCTTTCTTTTTTAAACAAAAAAAACAACTGTCTTTCAGAAAGGTAAGACCTAAACCACTGCCAGTGATGCCCACCCACTGCTCCAGTCTGGAGATGAGAATGTCATGGTGGATTGTGTCGAAAGCAGCTGTTAAATCTAAAAGCACAAGTAAAACACTTTTCCACATCCAGTGCTAAAAATATGTCATTAAAAACCCTTAATAGAGCAGATTCAGTGCTGTGATATGTTTTGAAACCAGACTGGAAGACCTCCAAAATTTTAAATTCATCCAAAAAGGCCTTCAGCTTGGTGTAAACGACTTTTTCCAAAATTTTTGGAAATAAAGGGTAACTTTGAGATTTTCTTGTTAAATTTCGAAGAAACGAGCAGCATTCCTCCTTTTTTTTTTTTTGCTCTCTGTCTGCGTGCTCCCAGAGCACCGAGGCAATGAATACTTTTGTAATACAGCTGATTTGACCGTTAAAGTCCTTTTATTAAGCAAACGTTAGACTGAGACACACCTTTTACTATAAAGTCGAGCAAACAAATAATTGTTTTTAGGAGTTTATCTTGTTAAATTTCAAAGAAATGAACAGTGGTTCATCCATCTGCGCATGCACACTTACACAAATCAGGTTTTGAAATGCAGCTGATTTGACCCTCAAAGTGCATTTATTAAGCAAAAGCTAAGAGACACACCCTTACTATAATTTCGAGCCAACAAATAATTGTTTTTAAGTGTTAATCTTGTTAAAGTCCTCACGTGCATGCTCCCGCAGCCGCCATTTGGCAGCCCATCGATTTTTGGCACATCGGCCCACATTTCTGGGTTCCTCCCACATTTCTAGATTGTCAGCAGTGATGCATAATGGATGCGACTTATATGGCGAAGCAACATATTTATGGATTTTGCCACTTTTTTTGACATGTTTGGACTGATGAGACGTACAGGTCCTTCTCAAAAAATTAGCATATTGTGATAAAGGTCATTATTTTCCATAATGTAATGATAAAAATGAAACTTTCATATATTTCAGATTCATTGCACACCAACTGAAATATTTCAGGTCTTTAATTGTTTTAATACTGATGATTATGGCATACAGCTCATGAAAACCCAAAATGCCTGTCCCAAAAAATTAGCATATCATGAAAAGGTTCTCTAAACAAGCTATTAACCTAACCATCTGAATCAACAACGTAACTCTAAACACCTGCAAAAGATTCCTGAGGCTTTTAAAAACTCCCAGCCTTGTTCATTACTCAAAACCGCAATCATGGGTAAGACTGCCGACCTGACTGCTGTCCAGAAGGCCATCATTGACACCCTCAAGCAAGAGGGTAAGACACAGAAATAAATTGCTGAACTAATAGGCTGTTCCCAGAGTGCTGTATCAAGGCACCTCAGTGGGAAGTCTGTGGGAAGGGAAAAGTGTGGCAGAAAACGCTGCACAACGAGAAGAGGTGACCGGACCCTGAGGAGGATTGTGGAGAAGGGCCGATTCCAGACCTTGGGGGACCTGCGGAAGCAGTGGACTGAGTCTGGAGTAGAAACATCCAGAGCCACCGTGCACAGGTGTGTGCAGGAAATGGGCTACAGGTGCCACATTCCCCAGGTCAAGCCACTTTTGAACCAGAAACAGCAGCAGAAGCGCCTGACCTGGGCTACAGAGAAGCAGCACTGGACTGTTGCTCAGTGGTCCAAAGTACTTTTTTCGGATGAAAGCAAATTTTGCATGTCATTCGGAAATCAAGGTGCCAGAGTCTGGAGGAAGACTGGGAAGAAGGACATGCCAAAATGCCAGAAGTCCAGTGTGAAGCACCCACAGTCAGTGATGGTCTGGGGTGCCATGTCAGCTGCTGGTGTTGGTCCACTGTGTTTTATCAAGCGCAGGGTCAATGCAGCTAGCTATCAGGAGATTTTGGAGCACTTCATGCTTCCATCTGCTGAAAAGCTTTATGGAGATGATTTCATTTTTCAGCACGACCTGGCACCTGCTCACAGTGCCAAAACCACTGGTAAATGGTTTACTGACCATGGTATTACTGTGCTCAATTAGCCTGCCAACTCTCCTGACCTGAACCCCATAGAGAACCTGTGGGATATTGTGAAGAGAAAGTTGAGAGACGCAAGACCCAACACTCTGGATGAGCTTAAGGCCGCTATCCAAGCATCCTGGGCCTCCATAACACCTCAGCAGTGCCACAGGCTGATTGCCTCCATGCCACGCCGCATTGAAGCACTCATTCATGCAAAAGGATTCCCGACCAAGTATTGAGTGCATAACTGAACATGATTATTTGAAGGTTGGCGTTTTTTGTATTAAAAACACTTGTCTTTCATTGGTGGGATGAAATATGCTAATTTTCTGGGACAGGCATTTTGGGTTTTCATGAGCTGTATGCCATAATCATCAGTATTAAAACAATTAAAGACCTGAAATATTTCAGTTGGTGTGCAATGAATCTGAAATAAATGAAAGTTTCATTTTTATCATTACATTATGGAAAATAATGACCTTTATCACAATATGCTAATTTTTTGAGAAGGACCTGTATAGAGCACTTAAAACAGCTACAAGGCCAACCAAAGTGCTGTACAGACAGAACAACAGGTAACACACAAAGCAAAATACAAAATGAAGTAAATCAAAAATATAGACATAAAAACGATGCAGATAAATAAGATGACTAACCAGTGTGGAGCATACAGGTTCAAAACACAGATCATCTTGTGTTGAAAGCTATTGAATAGTAGTGAGTTTTTAAACGGGATTTGAAAACCGAGAGGGAGGGGGCCTGTCTGACAAGCAGAGGTAACTCGTTCCAAAGTCTTGGTCCTGTTACAGAGAAGGCCCTGTCACCTCTGCGCTTAAGACGAGTTCCTGGAACTGTGAGGAGCAACTGGTCCGCTGACCTCAGGGAGCGTGGTGGGACATACAGTTGTAGCAGATCAGAGAGATTTGGGGGGGTGGGGGGACAAAACTGTTCAGTGATTTGTAGACATACAGGAGTATTTTGAACTGGATTCGAAGGTGAACCGGTAACCAGTGCAGGGAGGCCAAAACTGGTGTAATGTGCTCTCTTTTGCCTGAACTGGTTAAAAATCGGGCTGCTGCATTCTGGACCAGTTGTAGTCGTGCAATGGAGGTTTGACTGATACCAAACAGGAGTGAATTGCAGTAATCAAGCCTAGATGTAATGAATGCATGTATTACTGTCTCCAGGTTATTTTTGGACAATATGGGTTTCAGTTTAGACAGCCGCCTCAGTTGGAAGAAACATGATTTAACAATCATGTTTACGTGATTGTTAAGTTTCAGGGAAGGGTCCATTATCACGCCCAGATTAGTGACTCTTTGTTTTTCTGACAGGGTTAGAGCGGAGAGGTCGATGCAGTGGTTTGTGATCGTGTCGTTGGGAGGGAACAACATGACTTCAGACTTCTTTTCATTGAAACTTAAGAAGTTTAAAACCATCCAGTCCCTGATGTCAGCCAGGCAGTCGAGCAGAGGTTGAATAGAGCATGTACCATTGTGTCTTAGGGGGAAGTAAATTTGACAGTCATCGGCGTAGAAGTGAAACAGTATGTTGTTTCCGGAAAATAGCACCATTTCTACTCAGCAGAGCTCATATGAGCAGGAGGGAGGACGGGGAAAGAGCCCCTCCCTCCAATTGTTTCCTCTATTCCATGCGGAGCTTAAATGACTGTACACAGAAAGATTTTTTTTTTAACTTTAAATATGTATTAGTCTTGACTGACTGCTGTAAAAATAAATCTTGCGACGTCTCCAGTGAGCTCTCATGACGGAAAGGGAGGGGGAAGAACCCCACCTGTTGTTTTTCATTGTTGTTCTCCACTCCGTGTTCGGATGAGAGTTTAAAATGAGATCCTGGTATTTAAACACATATTTACTGCACACAGAAATAATTTTTAAACTTTTATTAAAACATGTACCAGACTTGACTGCTTTGCGTCTCCAATGTCTGACCATCGACACGTTGCAAAGCTTACGGGATACAGCTCTGTTTCCTCCTCCGACAGCCAATCGTTTTTAACATGAAATCTGCATTGTAAGAAATTCTTCGTACGTTTTCCGTGATCGCTGAGCAAATGAACAGGTCTGTGCATGAAGCGCAAAATCCGGTAACGACACGGGAACAATCTGAAGAAATTAATTCACGTTTATCTTGGGGGATGGTCCTTGAGAGTACCTTATTGTTCATTCAGGTTAGACTTCTGGTCACATGACGACAGAGTGGGTGGAGCTATGGTCGGAAATTTGAAACCATGAGCAAGAGTCATTGTAATCTGATTACCTGAGGGCATTCTCTCTATGCCACAAATGCCTGCCCCCAAGAGGGGCAAAGTGCTGGGAGCTATGAGTGTCCAGCTCTATCAAAGGAAAATGTTAGTCAGTGGCAGGAAGTTACCAAGAGACGGCAAGAAGTCTGTCAAAATAAAATATTAAAATATAACCTATGAAAATTATGATAAATACATAAATTAGCTGCGCCTGCATATAAACTGCAGGCTACAAAGTGTGAGAAAAATGTAGCGGCTTATACACTGGCAATTACGGTAATTACATCAGTAAAAATGTGGCATCTTTGTCCCTTTTTGACTTTCTGTCTGCAGTTTTGAGCACACGAAAAGACTGAAATAGAAAACAAATAAATGGAAAGTGGAAAAAGCATCTAAATTATTTTTCTTCATAAATGTCTGCTTTGTTTTTATTTGTGCTTTCTGTGGAAAAATGTTAGTGGTTTTGTATTTAAAATCTTATTTAGTGAGTTTATCATTAGATCTCATAAACCTTGTCTTTGCATTGTGATCAGCAGAAGAGAATGAAATAATAAAGTGAGGATTTGATGAAGCAGGAAGGTAACTGACCAGTTCTGATGAATACCATCTTGTTCCTCTGTAGGCCAGTCCTGATGGTCCAGCCTGGTGCTGGTGGCTGCTTGCCGTTCTTCCCCTGGAGAATCGAGCCCAGCTCACCATCCTGGCCATGACCTCCTTCAAGGACCGCCTCATCGCCATTCGAAGGGTTCTCATCTTCGTCACTCGCAAAAGACCGCGGTGATAGACGAGGAGCTGCTCCCACATCTGTGCAGTTCACAAACTTCTCATTCTGTCTCAGCGATTCGTTCTCTGAGCTATACACTTGACTTGCTTCACTCCCTCGACAGTTCATGAACTCTTCTTTGTGACATGTAGCCGTTCAGAGCTTCACTCGAACCCTTCCACCCCACAGCTGCCTCCAAACCACCGTCACGTCTGACTGTGCCCTCACAGCTCAAGGTCAAAAACAAACCAGGCCATTCATTTGAGTTGAGGAAATACAAACATTGAGCAGATCTTTTTGTTTGACATTTACAAGAAGAGCAACACACATGGGTCCATCACAAAGCTGTGAAGTTCACCACACATTGACAAAAAACCTAAATTAAACCTTTGCATGATAACAAAACCTCAACAAAGATAGCCATCTGGTTGTGTGAGGACTTGGGTTTTATTTGGCCCCTTCCTTACGACACCTGCAGACCCAGTGGAGGGCTCAGTCGCTTGGACGAGCCCTGGCAACACGGTGTCACTTTAAAGGTTCCTGACGGAGCCCAGACCTCATCTGCTGGCCGGGGTGAACCTTGAAACGAAACATGAACGTTTGATTCAGCTCGTGTGTGGGAACAAGTGTCTCTACAGCAGCTTGTACTCTTTTTAAAAGAGATTCAAAATAGGAATTAGGGTTTAACAGTAAACCAGATTCTTGCACAAACTCCTGCTGAAGAATAATCTGCAAGTTGACATCTTATTGTAGCACATCTCTGGGACAAAGTACTGAACTAGTTTTGGGGTTTGACTGTACCCATAGCAGTCTGTGTATCCTAACGAGTGATTTCTGTGTAAATCCATGACTGAGGCCTTTTTAATGTTTTATTCAAGAAACATTTAAACGTCTCTCCTTACTCTTCCGTGTTGTCATAAAAATGCACACTATAATAATACACTTGCTGTGCAGTGGAGTTTCCTTGTAAACAGTTACATCTGTTGATTTTACTTGTTTTTTTACTATAGCACCTTTTAAAGCCTGATTTCAATCTGCATTAACTATTTATTTACTGCTGGCACGTGGTGTTCCCATTTTATTAGTAAAAAGTCTAAACTGTTTAAATCAGTCTCGGTTTTTGGGGATGAGTTTTGCAGCTTAAAATGTTTTTGTTTTGTAAAATAAAACAAAGAAATTGCAAAATAACCTGTAACCTCTTGTTGGTATTAAAAAATGAAAACGGAAGAACAAAAAGATCATGACAGTTGTGAGTTTTCAGTAAAGTCTGGAAAATGTAGATGAAAAGACGAGAAATAAAACGCGTTTGCTCAACCTCACAGGAAATGCAGCCTGAACCGAAAACTTGAAGCAAATGTGAGGAAGGTTTCTGTAACGTACCTGGCTTTAGGTGCACGTCAAACCAAACCCCAGAGGGACTTGAACCAAACTTCATGTCTGGATTACTGGCACTGTGAGGAATGTTTCTGAGCTGGCCCAGTTTCATACACACAGGACGTCTGAAGTTCCACCGGTGATAAAATGTCCTTTATTCATAAGAACCAGGAGCGTCTAGCTTCTTTAAATAATAATGGTATTAAATTATTCAGGACTGGCTTTAGTTGTGAGCAGTTTTTCAAATGAAAGGATTTGATCTGAGGAAGACTGAATGTAACCTTTGTTTACAAGAAAATTCCAGTGCACCTTTAAAAGTATGAATCGGTTAAATGATCTACGTTTGGTTATTTAAAACGGACTTCAAAAGTGATGCATTCATATTTTTGGACCAACTCAAAGTTGGTGAACTCGTAGTAGGACACAATCCGTGTGCAGATGATGAATTCTTTCTGTATCATTTGTCCATTGAAACGCTCACGTGCTCTCTACACGGGGAGGCTCTTCACCGTGCGCTGCCATTCCCTGCTATATTTGTGAAGGGAGCTCTTGTACCAATTTTATATTGCAAATAAAGAAAAATATAAATCAATACAGTGCGTGTTGCTCATTTTATTGAAGGTGGAAGTTTTTGACAATGGGAGTTGGAAGTCCTTGTTTCATTACTGCACTGTGGACAGTGGTTACGCTGCGTTCTAAAATGGTCCAACTCTAAACTCAGTTGTACAATAAGAGATTCCAACATGTTCGTATTTATAAAATACAAAGGCAAAATGGAAAAATGGTGCCTGAAAAACAGTCCACCCTGTTTTTCAAGAGCTTAAAAAAACCTCACCCATCAGTCCCCAGTGACTATAGACCTGTTGCCCTGACATCATGAAGGTCCTAGAGAGACTTCTGCTGACCCACCTGACTAAACAAACAAGCACATATCAGGACCCACTGCAGTTTGCTTATCAGCGTGGACTTGGAGTTGAAGATGCCATCATACACCTGCTTCAACAAACTCACTGTCATCTAGAAAAGGCAGACAGCACTGTGAGAGTCATGTTCTTTGATTTCTCCAGTGCATTTAACACAATCCAGCCTGATGTGATTTGTCAGAAACTCCAGAAGACTCAGCTGGAGGCCTCAGTCACCTGGATCCAACACTACCTGACAGCTGTGGCTGAGTGGTTAATCAGTCGTCCTCCAATGCGAGAGTTGGGGGTTTGAATCCACCAGCAGTCACATGCTGAAGTGTCCCTGGGCGAGACACTGAACCCCTTATAGCCTCTGATGCATGTCCCATCAGTGTATGAATGTGATCTAAAAAAAAACACTGATTAGTCTCTTTAGAAGGATTTGTTCAATTAGCTTTGTAGAGATCTAGTATAGAGCTGTATGAATGGGTAAATGAGGACACAGATTGTAGTGTAAAGCGCTTCGAGTATCTTGAAATAAGATAGAAAGGCGCAATATAAGTACAGTCCATTTACCATTTACCAACAGACCACAGTTTTTGAGACTGAAGGGTTGTGTGTCTAGCCAGGTGGACAGTAGCTCAGGAGCACCACAGGGGTCTGTGCTCTCACCATTCCTTTTCACTCCGTACACCTCAGATTTCCAGTACAAAACAGACTCCTGTCATCTGCAGAAATATTCTGATGACTCTGCAGTGGTCGGGTGTATCAGAGATGGACAAGAAGTTGAGTACAGGGAACTGGTGGACCGCTTTGTGGCATGGTGTGGAAACAATCATCTCATGTTGAATGTGAACAAAACAAAGGAGATGATTGTAGATTTCAGGAGAATCAGGAACAGATCCAACCCTATTTCCATCATGGGAGAAGAAGTGGAGGTGGTGGAGAAGTATAAAGACCTTAAGGTTCACCTGGACAATAGACTGGACTGGAAATGCAACAGTGAAGCGTCTACAAGAAGGGACAGAGCAGACTGTACTTCTTGAGGAAGCTTAAGTCCTTCAACGTTTGCAGCAAGATGCAGCATATCTTCTATAAGTCTGTTGTAGAGAGCGCTGTCTCTTCTGCCATCATCTGCTGGGGGAGCAGCACCAGAGCAAGTGACTTAAAAAAGATCAACAAGCTCATAAAGAAGGCTGGCTCAGTTCTGTGGACTCCTCTAGAACCTTTGAAGATGATTGTTCAAAGAAGGATTCTTCATAAAATGAAGAACATTATAGACAACCGTCAGCATCCTCTTCATCAGACTGTCATACAACAACAGTGTTTTCAGTCAGAATGTCATACTTGGTAAAGAAATTGAAAGTAAAACTGGGTTTCTTTTTCAGAAACAGACTCTGTCTAACTCTGAACACTAGGAAACTCCTTGTAACTGTGACTTTCCTTCCCTCCATTGATTACGGTGACATTATTTACTTGAACGCTCCTACGAGCCCCCTGCAGATGTTGGATGCTGTCTATCATGGTGCACTAAGATTCATAACTGGCTGTGATTATCGTACCCACCACTGCACCCTGTATTCACTGGTTAACTGGTCATCATTAACTTCACACAGACTCTCTCACTGGTACATTTTCATCTTTAAATCACTTCTTGGTCTGCTGCCTTCATACATCTCCTCCTACATGTCTCTGTGTGAGTGCAGCTGCAGCGTGCACTCTCAGGACATTATTACCTGCAGTGTTCCCTCAATGGACCAAATTTGGCAAAATTATTCCGCTCCTGTATCCTGGATATTATATCCTATATAATATCATTAGGATATAAATATCCTAATGATATTTTGTATCCTTACAAAAAGATCTGAAGCTCTCGATCTTGACCTCTCTAAGTGATTTTAAACAACTACTAAGTTCATGGCCAAAACCAATGCAGACATGTTCCTGTTTTTAGTCTTTTATATCGCTTTACAATGTAGCAGTTTTTAAAAATTTCATTTTATATCGCTTCTTTTATTTACTTTTCATTTGATATGTTTTTTATATGAATGCTTAATGTCTGTACCTCATCTATGTTCTTTGTTTAAATCAGGTCTCTCTTGTAAATGAGTTCTCGTGCCTCAATGAGACTAACTTGTAGAAATAAAGGTTGAATGAATAATAAGCCCACCTTTATCAAACTTAACCTCTCAGTCGTTTGTTTTAAGACCATCACCTCCGGTCAGTGTGGAGGAGTTTGGGCCCATGTTTTACAAAATGCCTTCAGTGTGAGGATTGTTCTCGTCAGACTGAGGTCTAGATCTTTGATTGGACCATTGCAACACCTCAACTGTTTGCTGAGGTCTGCGGCTGCAAAACGAGCCCATGTCATGATTCCTCCACCACCGTACTTCCAGCTGATATGAAGGTGTTGACATACTGTTTGATTTTCTCCAGATGTGCTACTGTGCAGTTTAGGTAAACATATTTACTTTGCCCTCATCTGTCCATTAGTTAAACTTCTTGTGGTTTATTCAAACAACTTTACAAACTTTAGTGCTTAATCTGCTGATGTGTTTCCTTCTTGGCATTGTGTTGAAACACGCAAACTACAAGACAGTCTGTTGTGGGTTGCAAGACTGAATTAAAGTAAAATAAATAAGCAGACACGTGGATCAGCTTCAGTTATCTCCAAAAATAATAATTGTAATATTAGGTCATGGCAGCACGGTGGCGCAACTGGCAGAGCTGCTGCCTCTCAGCGAGCAGGTCCCTGGTTCAAACCCCGGTCCAGGGGCCTTTCTGGGTGGAGTTTGCATGTTCTCTCCGTGCATGCGTGGGTTTTCTCCGGGTACTCCGGTTTCCTCCCACAGACCAAAAACATGCATGTTAGGCTGATTGGTAACTCTAAATTGTCCCTAGGTGTGAGTGAGAGAGTGAATGGTTGTTTGTCTCGTTTGTCTCTATGTGGCCCTGTGATGGACTTGCGACCCGTCCAGGGTGTACCCCGCCCCTCGCACAGTGATTGCTGGACATGGGCACCAGTGACCCCCGTGACCCAAAATGGAATAAGCGGGTAAAGAAAATGGATGGATGGATGGATGGATATTAGGTCATTATTACAAGCAGATATTACCACTATCCCCTATGTTGTTCATTACTGGGCTGGATTTGTAGATGGGCTGAACTGGGTCAATGTGTGGAAACTGCCATAAAGATATTTAATGATAAAGTAAGAGAAGTATCTTGTAAATTAATCTACAGGTACTAGCCGGCCAAGCAGTACATGTTAAAATTTAGGAAAGACATTTGCGTGAATTGCTCTCTGTGTGAGTCTGAACCTGAGACTATGATCCACCTTGTCACAAAATGTTGGTTACGTACTGTAACCCCAGATTCTATGAGTAAAGGCTTCGCCCTTTAAGAGCTGTCACTGGTGGGTTTATCCCGTCATGCAAAGCATCGCACTGAAAAAATTGAGTCCACGCCCACCTGTTGTGTGGGCCCCACCCAGTCCGTATAAATTACGTTAAGAGCGGGTAATCGGCTCCCAAATAGCTTTTTCTTCAGCCATTTAGGAGCCAGTGAGGCTCGATGCTTAAAGGGCTACGCCTATACTCATAGAATCTGGGGTTACAGTACGTAACCAAAGTTCTATTTCGTATAGGCTTCGCCCTTTAAGAGCTGTCGCTGGTGGGTTATGGGCGAAGCATGATGTAGTCTCCGCCTCACTGGGTCCATTTGAACACCATAAGAAGCGTCCGCTTGCCCAAATAAACTTCTTGTCACTCAGCTCTCCATGTGCGTAAATACGCGTTGCGTTATTACGCGCACTGCGTAGTGTACGCGTTCCGAGTGCCTGAATATCCCGGAAAAGTTTTCAATGGGAAAGAGAAGAAGCTGAAAAGGGCCGTGAACAAAGCAGATCCACAGCTCTTCAATATGAACAGATTAATAATAAGTGAACTGAATATTAATCAAATAAACTGATTGATGACAGAAATCATGAACTGGTTAGTGACCATAGAACAAGAACAACAGTCATAACCTGTGGCTGATAACAACATCTCACACTGTAATGCATGCAGTCAGATGTGAGTTTAAACGAGATTCCATGAAACAATAATATTCATTCTGTTAAAGCACTAAGGACAGAATGTGTCATGGAACAGACCGACACATCACGTAAATAGAAGCAAATAAATGAACTTTGATGTGTACAGCGCTGTGGTGGAGGCAGCACGTGAAACCTGGATCGTGCGCACCGCATCTTGAGAGAGACTCATCCTCTCTAAAACGGATCCGCTCAGCGGCGAGACTCAAAGGTGCTGGCCTATTTCTGGGTAACTCCTGATCGTTCCTCCTGCCTGGAGGAGAGCAT